CAGAATACTGCCCTTGTCACAGAGAGGCATCGATGCCGGTCATATTTCTCAGCGTCCAGGCCCAGTTTTCAGCTACTTCAAGTTCAATTCAGACCAAAGCAGGTATCATTCGGAGGCAGGGGGCTTTTAGATAGGCCTGAAGGTCTCACAACCTGGTTGCAGAAGTGTTGTATTTCCCAGGCTCACATCCATTACCGCCAGACCGCATAACTCCCAAGGCTCACTGCCCATTATCTTCCTCTAGCTTCTGCCTGCACCCCTTGCAGCTGGGTTCTCGTTCCCTCCATTGTAGCAACTCAAAGTATCTCCCTGGGGCTCCTGACGTAACGGCGTGGCAGCGGCACTATGCCTCCCATCATATCTCTGTGATCATGGAAAACCTTCCAAAGCACCTGCGGATCATGCTCGTGGTTTCGAATAAGCCGACCCTTCAGATGCCTGTTCAGGCCGGGAAGCGCCACTTTGGCCGAGTTCCAGATGAGGGCATACGAAAACAAGCGACGCAGACGAAGACGAACAAATTCGGCGTAGCCGAGGGGAATATCTGAGGAATTCTGGGGATGGGGTCAATGGAGCAGTCGAGCCGGTGGTAGTTGAGGTGGAAGCTGACGGAGTGCTCCCACTCTTCGAAATTGCTGGCGTCTTCCTTGAGCTCAACCATTGGGATGAGTTTGAGGGCCAGGGAGGTGTCCAGATCGGCGGGGGTTTGGGCCATGGTGCTTATGTTCGGTAGAGGTACTCTTGGAAGGATTGGTCTAGATGATTCGCGGCTCACTTTACAATTATGTTAGCAAGGCCTGCTGGTAGAGAAAGTCCGTAGCACTGGGAGTTACATGTAACGTACGTGCTAGAGAACTCGAGGAACCGCTTGTCTTCAAACTGAAGAGGTCTACAAAATTGGCTTCACGGTTGTATGGCGCACGAAGATTGCCAAGGCAATGAATCATGAGGGGGCCGTAACGAGGTGCAAGATGGAGAAGGGAGATGTTCGAAGTGAGGAGAGGAGACAAATGACGGACTGGAGTCTTTTTTTACGTGGTATTTGCAAATTGGCGCGTACGCAAGTTACTGCCTGCGATTTCTCCTGAATTTCCAGGCTTTGACATTTCATCTGAACTCCCCCTCCCTCGCAAACTACCCCCACATGTCGATAGCAGTAAAGCAAATTCCTGGGCCGTTTTATGCAGGTGGTTTCTGAGATGGACCAGGCAGGAGGACAGTTTTTGCGTAAAGCCTCACCAGGCGAACCACTTCAATACAAATCCTTTCCAACCCAAGTTCACCACTGCATAAGCGTGGTAGCGGCAAAGGTATGTCTCAGGTCCATTCTGAATTTGACCTGCCTCGTTATTCTTGCGGGGCGGGGTGATGTGATGCGCAACAAAAGTCGTCAGGTTGTAGTATGAAAGGTGGAAGAAAAGGGCGTGCTCCCATTTGTGACGAACCGTTACAAGCACAGGAGTATTATCGCTGGGATAGAACAATAGAGTAACAAAGTAGTAGCCGAAAGGTACTGATGTATTGTGATAGCTATTGCTTGCTGAAGAGCCCAGTATGCGCCGTTGCGCCGGTGAGGCCATTCCCGGCCACCCGGTGCCCCCTTGGCCGTGGCCGCGGCGCAGCTCTGATTGGTCTATCTAACTGCTTGCATAGGTGATCCCTTATTGGATCGTAACACCATTCGTCGTAGTTTGAGAAGTCTTCGAGGAGCTGGGGAATGGGGACCAGCTTGAGGACTTTGGCTGCGTTTGCGACAGGCTCTTGCGCTTCCATATTGGGCGGGAAGAGGGACGAGTAACTTGAGGTTGGGTTTCTTCTCACTGGCATCTGTTAATTTGATTTACTCGTGAAAGAAGGGATGTGCCTACTTACGTTTGGCGGCGCCAGCAACTGAAAGCCAAAGGTCTAAGAAGTCAAAGACGTGAGAAATTCCAGCAAAAGACCTTGAGGACGGGTTGAGATGCGTTCAAAACGGCAAGGAACGTTCGCGACGAAGGTTGAGTTGAAGTTGAACGTTGCCAAAGAAAAAAGTAATGAACGCGAAGGCGGGGCAAACGGGAAGAAAAGAAAGACTCGAAAGAGGGGTTGAAGGCCATGGGCTTACCGTAATTTTACACCAACTTCACACTCTCCTGCTATGCTCCTAAACCTCAGTCCTTACCACCATGAAGTCCACACCCAAAGTCCATCAAAACTCCCAAGGATCCTCAAACTCCTCCACAGCAATACCTCTAGCAACAGCAGCCTCACGAAGCTTATTACACGCGAGCCTAGCATCGTCCCGCGCCTTCTCATCAACCTCCTCACCTTCCTTTGCTCGATCAAGCCTAAAGCTCATCTTCCTCAACGCAGGCAAGAACTTGTCATCCCCAAACGCCTCGATCCACTCCCCCAATAAAGGCGCCAGTCCAACCGGCCCTCGGAAATGGAACTCCTCCAGCTTCGGCGGGAAAAACCGCCACAACATCTTCAACAGCGGTGTCTTCAGCCCATCATCCGAAGACAACAACCTTTCCCCAACACTCAACCTCAAGACCTTCAACTTCTCCAGCACCAACAGGAACGTCGCAAAGAATACCTCCTCTGGCGCATCCTCGTTGGCCCAGTCCCCCACGTCTCCATAGTCGTCCGAGCAAAGCGTAACGCTCTCCAGCCTCGCAGCCGCAGGAAAGCATTGCAGACAGAACCCGATGAACATGTCGATCGCGTTATTTCCGATGATCTCGAGCGTCCTGGTCTTTGTAGGGGGCAGCTTCCCTTCCAACTCCGGCCGTGCCTGGACGTAATGCTTCAGCATTCGGTTCTGCAGTCTTCGGGGTGTCCAGGTCTCTAATGCCGAAACCCTTTCCTCTTCAGTCTCGCCAATGTTGATGAAAGGTAGCAGGTCTTCCAACGACTCCCAGTTTTCCAAACCGTACCACTTTAGATTGTGGCAGAGATAAAAGGCGAGATGCTCAATGTGCCCTTCGATGATGGCGGGGGTAAGGACTTCTGCGCTTGCTGGACCTGCGACAACCAGAACATCCAACGGCCAGGCGAGGGGGAAGGAGCCGTCGTTCCAGTTCTCGACGGGTCCTGTCGAGACATAGAGCTTTTGGACTTTGTTGAAGTACGAGGATAGAATGTCCCATTGTTCGTTTGTTGGGATCTCGTTATTGAGGTGGAGGATGATGGAGTTAGGGTCTAGGTGAGAGAGAGAGTTGGCATCGACCACGGGGGTTGCGAGCATGTCGAGGTGGGTGATGCCGCGGGAGGAGGCATTTGCGGCGGTTGTTGAGGCGAGGTATGTTGCCCAGTTCGAGGGTGGTGAAGTTGTCTCCTTCGAATCTCCTTTGGAGGTTTTGCCATGAGACAATTTGGCGTTCTTCATCTTGTCCGGTGTTGAGTTGCTATTTCCACGACGCTTTGTGGAGTATGACAAGATCCGGGTATATGCTTTTGGGCTCACCAAGACAGGAGTTGGACAATATGTTCATCTGGTCGTTTATCGAAATCACGCGTCGCTTCTCCTCCTTTCCTCAAAGATCCCGTCAGACAGATGGCTGGGCTGACTGATGGTCGTACGGACTATGCCAAGAACGGGCATCCATCGTAGCATCGACTGCGGGTCCGAGGTTCAGGGAATCGAGGATTGGCTAGGCGCTTACGGGTGTCTGACGGCGGCAATTAGCGCGATTTTCCCAGCACGTTCATGCGCGAAGCGCCAAACTAACTCAAAGATGATGTTCTTTGGCCATTTGGTTCCTCCTTCAATGTTTCATAAATTGCGTTTATTTTGATGCTGCGGCTGGATGAGCGAGTGTCCATGGAGTATTTTAGTTGTTTGGAGGCACTTTGTTGACATTGCCAAGATTCGGGGTTCAGTTGCCGGGGCGCCCAGCAAAAACCGCCACGATGACACAAATTCTCAGCCCTGTATGCCCCCAATGGTTGCTCTTGTCCATGGTCTGGCTCCATTTTCTCGGCAGTGATGGCGCTAAGGAGGCGCAGAAGGACAGCACTGCCCGTCCACTAACACTCGGGGGAAGGCATCGTCGAAATCATTGGCCGTGACGACTGTCGGCGATCATCGCCAATGTCTGCGTCGTTATTGCCTGTCTGTAACGTTCATCAACGATGAATTCTGAAGATAAAATGGCCTCCGGGTCGCAGCTTCCACAGTGTTGTTTTAGTCATTCTCGTTGCATCTTCATCCAACTTCAACACCAAGGAGTTTTCCAGTGTTTGCAAACAAACCCACCGTTACCATAGCTACCACCGCACCTAGCCCCTAAAGCCACTAACAATTACCGCTATAACATCCTAACATATACTCCTATAATCCACTAAAACACCACCACCGCCACCACCACCAAAATCGCCACCACCACCATGACCACCATGACCAGCAGGACCATGCTCCCTCCCGCCCGCCAAAAGATCGGCGTCTTCGGCAACTACCTCGCCCAGCAGGAATTCAACACTCTTGTCCTTAAGGAAAAGGTCATGTCGCTGTCCGGTGACAGCTTCGACATCCGGATGAAGGAAACAGGCCAGTCCATCATCAAGGTGCAGGGCGAGCTGATCGGGTCCAAGAAGACGGCAACGGATAGCGAAAGTGGCCAGCACCTGTGGACGCTGGGGAGGGAGTATATGCATTTGCACACGACGTACACGCTTAAGGACGCGAGGGGCGCGACGGTGATGGAGGTTCAGAGTAGGTTGTTTACTCGCGAGTGTTCCCCTTGTTTTTGTCTGCTTTGGGCTCCTTCCTCTCCTTGGTCTTTTCTTTTCCGCTTCTTTTTCCCTGGGACACAGGCATTAACACCTTATCCCCGATGCAGTCCTCGGCGCCAAAGCCACAGCAACCATCACCAACCCTGCCACAGGCAAGACCACCGTCCTCAAGCTGAAGGGCAACTTCCTCGACACCAGCAGTGAGATCGTGGATGAAAGTACAGGAACCGTCGTCGCCATGATCCGGCGCAAGCTGCTCAACTCCGGTGAACTGCTGTTCGGTCAGCAGACGTATGAGGTGTCGGTGGCGCCCGGTGTGGACTTGGCTCTCATCTCGGCGCTGTGCATTTGCTTGGACGAGATGAAGAACGAGAGCTCTTAGAGGGTGCGGCAGATTTGGAGCCCGGCGGGGTGTCTTTGTGTTTTGTGATGGATTGTTTGGTTGTTTCGTTGTCTTGGATACCCCTTTTCGGGTTGAAGTTTTGCTTTCTTGTCTCCTTTTCTTGGATATATTGATGGGAATACTGAATAAGGCGTTGGAAGTTGTATTACTTACAACCAAACTTCACTTTTGGATGTTGTTTACGTTTTGAGCCGTCGTTGTGAAGTTCTTCTTTTCCGTATTTGCGGACATGGTTCAAGGATGGGATGAAAGCCTTGGAAGGGCACAGACCGCGGCCGCTTGGAGCTTGCTGCAGGTCTTACGGTCAAGCCACTCATCATGACGTTGGACGGTCAACAGTTCCTTACATGTACGTGGGCATGCAGGACCAACGCACGATCACCGCCATGCTTGTCTTCTGCATCATCACCTTCGGACGCTTCGGTTGCACAGCAAGCCAGCAGAGCATCATGTACAGCGTCGAAAAGCGCGACGGCATCATCGTCGAGACGGCCGCGCGGCCCAGCTCCAAGATCTCCGAGTTCTTCGGCGACACCCTCACCAACGCGTCAACTAGTCCTGAGCTCCGGAAAATCTTCAGCAAGCGACGGCGGCCACATCATCACCATGCGACCGCAGGCCCATTCACGCCGCCGCGCTCCGCCATCGGTGCCGGCAAACTCGGTTATCGCGAGCGCTCGGAGCCGTGGTATCCATACCAGCACCAACATCAACGGAAGGACTTCTTGCGCCCACGAAGCCCGTCCGAGGTTCTGATCGAAAGCTGCGGGTTATCATGGTACGCCCCCAAATTTCACCCCCATCTCACCATTCCATGACATGGCAAAGCTGACAATCAAAAAAGGTTCACATGGCCCACCTCCCTCGGCCTCCTCTCCCTCGTTCTTTTCCTTCTTCCAGCGCAATATCACTTCCGTGGCCTAAACACTATCATAACCACGCTCTTCATCACCGACCTCGTGCTCTTCATCCTTTTCTCCCTGCTCATGCTCTGCTGCTCCTTCATCCATTCCAAGGGCTGTGGAAAGCCGCGCCAGTTATGCCATGAGCTGAATTATAGCGCCACCAAGCTCGGGGCTCTGGCTTATTGGCCTGTGGCTTGGCTGACGTTGGTCGCTTTTGCAGTGTTTTTGGCTGGTTATGATGATGATCAGGCTGCTGAGAAGAAGAGGGCGAATGGGAATGGGATTGGGGCTGCTGACGCTGACAGACAAGAAGAGTTGAGGAGACGTGTGTTGGCAATGATTGCTTATGTGATGTGGTGGATTGGCGTGGCTTGGATGACGGGGACCATGGTGTTTGTCATGGGCGTTATGACGGGGGCGCTGGGAGGTCCGAGTGGGAGGTGGATGTTGAAGAAGGGACTTGGTGCTAGAGGAGAGGAGGAAGATGAGGTGAGGATGGCTTTGCCGGCATGTTTGCTATCTTCGGCTTTTGGGATGGGGTTGCTTGCTTTGGTAGGAGGGTTGTTGGTGTCAGTGCTGGTGAGGTTGGGCACGATATCAGTTGGGATGGCGGCGACAGTGTTGGTGCTTGCATTCTGTGTGGAGGGGGTGGCTGTCTTCACGACGATCTTCCTGTACGCGGTGCTCCAGCAGGAGATAATACAGGTGGAGAGCAAGGCATCTGCCCATTTGATCAAGTTGTCGTTGTGGATGATGGGATCAGCGAGTGTCTGTGCCGCGGCCGTACAGATACTCGGGAGAGCAGCGGAGGACGTCAGTGCTATTCTCGGCGATACCAACGCCCATGGAAGCCTAAGTGGGAACTTGTTCACGCCTGCTACGGCGCAGGCAACTCACGTGGTGTGCATCCTTCTGGCCTTACTACTCCTCGGCTTGGCCACGCTTTGGCTTATTTTCTCCGTGGTGGCTTTTGTGAGCCATGCCCTCCGCAGAAGACTGTCGTGGAAGAGGCAATGGAATGATGCTGCCATCCCAGTGGCGGCGTTGGCGCTGTCCACGGTGCAGTTCAGGACGGAGTTGAACTCATCCTTCTTTGGCGTCGTCACATGCGTGTTGGTCGTGGCTGCAGCTGCCTCTCTTCTCATCAACCTGGTGCTGTGTATCAAGCAGATGGTGGGCGCAACGTTCCTCACCGCGCTTGACCAGGAGCTGCGAGTGTGATGGCAAGAGGGTATGACAAAAGATCCACCTGGGCGAGGAGCAGGACTGGGGAAGTGGGAATTTGGCCCCCGAGCCATGGTTGTTCGCAACTCCGATCCTTGAAAAATAATCCCATCACAAGATGAAGCAACGCATTCCATCCTTTTGTTCTCCCAACAGCTTGATGGCAAAACATCCGACAGTTGTTGTCCTCTGACAAAGTGTGACAAATCACTCCACTCCACAACTGAAGAAGGGCGCCACGATCCTCTTGTGTGAAACTCCAGGCTTCCACTTTCGAGCCTTACCTATCCCTTCCATAATCCCCGACGCCGATCACAAACTCCGTCAATCACCGCTTTTTGGTTCCACGCGCCGCATTCCTCCCGCTCGTCTACCGGCTACTGCACCACTCACGCTCCACCGTTGTTGACTCAGCCTCGATAATGAGGCACGTATCATCATAAGCGAGCCCCGACAACGTCCCACCGTCCGGCTTCCTTGGAGAAAATGTCTCCGCCAACGGTGCCGGTACTATTACTGAGAGGCATTAGCATGAAGGAATTTGGTGATCTCGGGGCTATTGTTAGTAAGACCCCGCCGTCTTCAACAAGCCATGGCGGCCGAACACGGAGGTAAACGTAAGCGCTTGTGATCCTTATCAGACGGTGCGGTCGTTTCCTGCCAACTGGTTACCGTCCGTGCCGCATTCCACGTGTTGCTTGTCTGTCTTCCGTTTGAGTTTCCGTCCTGTCGGGAACCAACGAGAGTCCAGCACGACACGTGTCTCGGAGGATGGAGATATGGAGAGCCCGGATGATGGTGAGGGTTGGAAGATCTAAAGGCTCTCTGCTGTATAAAGCCATGATATACCAGTCTGCCTTGGAACAAACAAGAGACAAACATTCCAGCAGCATCTCGGCTACATCTCATCGGTTAATCTCCATCCCGCGATTGCAACAAAGACGACGACCCAACAGACAGCAAACACCGGCACGAGCCGCTTAATCAGCAATCGAGCCGCAAACACTTCTCCATGGGCATTGTTCGAATCGGATAAAGACCTCGCGACAGTTGGCTCCATCCTGCAAGAGGACGGACAAGAAACTTACCTCTCAACCAACAGCATCCCAACCTCACCCACAAGCACTCTACTCAGCCAACAAACTCACTTGCCAAAGACCAAGCACCAGTCAAACGCCCACAATGTCCCTCCTCAAAGGCCAACGCTCCATCCAGACCATCATCCTCCCCCTTCCCCCCTCTCTCCGCCCCGCCTACGGTAACCACATCTACCGCTGGCTCTTCGCCATCTCCGCCTCTTATTCCGGAATCGGTCACTCCTCAGTATCCATAACCTCCCCTTCCTCCATCTGGGAGATCTACGAAGTAGCCCCTCAACCCATCGTCACCTCCCATTCCAACTCCCGCTCCCTCACCCACACCCAACAGTGCATATTCAGCTTCCTGCCCTCCGCCGACTTGACGACTCAACAACTTCTCGACATGCAAGGAACTTTTATCCCGCTTTGTGTGGCGGACGAGAACTGGAGGGACGCGTTTCTCGAGAGGGTGGATCAGTATATCACGTTCCCACCGGCGGATAAGGGGTTTAATGACCAGACTTTTGTGTTGGGGGTCGCGGAGGTGTTGAAGGTGGAGAAGTTCCTGGGCGAGGAGGAGTATGAGGCTTGGGTGCAGGCGGTGGGGAGGTTTAGGGGGTAGGGGTAGAAAGATGGGGTGGCGATGACAGATGAGGTGGGAGTTACAAGTACGTTGGCTGTAAAGGGCTTTGGGAGCGTGGATGGGATGCTGTACAATGAGACAGAGCAAAGTATGAGGTGGTACAAGGGGTGTTGATGATGTTATGGGCGAGTGTCCGGTGGGTAAAGTAGGTCATGGGTAGCACGTACAGACTTTGGCGGTGGAAATGGGATGTTAACACTGTATCAACTATCCATTTGTTGTCAATCCCTCTGGATTGCACGTCCTTACCTACCGAATACAACACTCACATCTTCTCCAACTCTGCATTGTTCTTGTGTTCTGACTCATTATCTCTCTGTTTCTTAACCCGTCCTGGCGGAGCGCCCGGATCGGGAGGTGTCCGAGATTTACGAATCGCAACCTGAGGTGTACCATCCGCCGTACGGTATTTGAAAATATCTGGATCAATTTCGTCCGATTCATCAAGTTCCCTCTGTCGCTTGACGGCTGGCAAAGGAGTGGGCATATCCTTTGATTCCGGCTCTTGTTGGGTTTCGTTACAATGAGGTCCAAGACCTTTGTGGTTTGAGTCCCAAGCCTTGGGAACAATCTTGATAGGCATACCCTCAAACAAACCATCCGCAGGGCTAAACTTGGAATCGTAGTCTTCCAGATCTGTTCTTGGATGCGGGTGACAAAGACCGGGAAGGGCCGGGGGTTGCGAAGGGTTGAAAGAGTATGTTGGCTTTGGAGATGCGCGACCGGCCCATCCTAGCAGTTCGGTAATCGGGGGTAACTTGACCCTCGTATCATCCGATGTTTCAGCTTTGGGGCTTGATCCATTGTCATCGGATGCGTTATTTGTCGCAATCTCCTCGGTAGATGGTAGCACTTCTCGCGTTTCGTCATTATATTACTTTTCTTCCTGGTCATCTGAAAGCGGGTCATCCTCTAGCCCACGGTCCGGTAGTACAAACAGGGCCACATCTTCCTGGTGTCGCCCAACATGGCGTGCGTAGGCCTTGAAAGAGTCTAGCTCTTTGTTGCACAACTCGCATTTCTTGGATGCATTGAGCGGTCTTTCCTGTTTGGACAGTTGGATGAGGCTTTCGGGGCTTAGAGTTTCCGCGTGTTCTTTGTGAAAGGTTGCGAGATGGGCTTCCAGCGCGGCTATATCTTCGATGTGTAAATCTTTGCACCCTAGGGGGCAGAGTAGGATCTTCCAATGAGATTCCTGGACATGGTGTATCCACTGGTGTCGTCTTTGGAAGTTTTGCCCTGCAGCAAGGCTAGGACAAGATGCTCACCTCCATTCCTTCGTGGTGTCAACCGATATCATCCGATTAACCAGAAGGACACTCAAATGGCCCGTTCCCTGCTTCTTCTGGCATCGAAGGCACTCTCGATCTCATTTCATCAGGAGCAGAACTAGGAGCAAAGGAGGTCTCGGTTAGAGCAGCCTCCGACCGGGTATCGCAGTCTTCTAAAGCGGAGCTGTCCGTGTCAGGTGTCTTCAGATGTTCCGGAAGAGACTATGGCGAGCAGCGGATATCTTTGAGGAGAACGTGCAAGACATGAGGAAAGCCATTGAGGAGCTGCAAGAAAAGCTGAACATAGGCTCGGATGGTCAGGGATGAAACCTCCTAGAGCTCGCGATTGCCTGCAAATTCGTCCAAAAGATCTTGCTAACAGCAGTTACAATCATCAGCCTCTGCCCCATAAGGAAAGACTCGGTTTCAAAAAGGAAATAAAGAGACTTTCCTTTTCCCTCAACAAGTCCGTGTATCTGGAACTGCTGACTCGCATACGAAATGGAGTTTCAAGCCTTGAAAGATTGACATCTCAGAATTCGGAGCTGGAGCCCGGGCGGGACAAACTGTTGGAGGCACGTGCACGGGTG